ATGCATCCATATATATTCTATAAATATACCTCTAACTTGTTAAAATTCAAATGTGCAACTTTGTATTATCATTCCATTCAGAACAGTACAGAATCAGTTCCACGTGATCTATAGAACATTTTTACAGTAGACCAGTCTCCTTCTATGAACACAAGTGTCCCAAAAGGACACAATACGTAAAAAGTAATCCTATTTGATATTAATGCTCACTGTCTGCATTTAAAAAAAAAAAAAATCATGAGGCCTAAAGTACTATTATTGTAGTAGTATAAGAGTTTAGGGTATTAAAGAAAAGCTCTAAACACTTTTCAATGTCTCACAGCAACATAAAGGCTATATGTGTCCATGAATATGTAACAATTCATCCATTCATTCATTCATTCACTATTTATTCAAAGTGAATAGTGCCAAGCACAATGTTCACAAAGTGCCAGGAACAGTGTTAGCTGCAATGTTACTAAATTCCTACTTTTAATAAACTCTCTTTTCTAGTAGGGGAGGAGTACATAAACCAATAATTACAGTAGAATGTAGTACCTGCAATGAAAGAGATATATTCAAACTTTATAAAGATAAATTTGTAAAATAAATATGTAGTTGCTGAAAATAAACCTTCTGGATCATCCAATGCAAAATTTTCAAAGGGCATATACAGGCTTTTCATTCTTCGGTGACTTAGAACTTGATTATTCAATTAATTTCCATACATCAAATAATCAGCAAGGCACCATGCTCAATGCTATAGAAAATGTAAAGTATTAAACAGTATAAAATCAAGGCCCCACTAAGGCAGTTTTTCATCTAGTTAGAAATATAAGATTATATGTAAGAATGGATTTGGGCCTAGGTGAAAGAGAAGAATCTCTTAATGTGACTTGTGAACTCCAGCCACATTACCTCAGGGGTACTCAGAATGCTACTTGCACCACAGAAGGCTTTGCCTTCAAAGGCTAAGCAGAAAGATTCTTAACCAGTATGGATTGTATGTGGACACAAACAGACACCCAGCCTTGATAGGCATTGGGCTCATAGGAGAGAGATTAAATTTGGACTTAAATTGGGGTCTGATGATGTCCTGAAAGGGCTGGACAAGAAAGCAAAAATAATGGGCTGTGAATAAAGAATCCCACAAATAAAGCAACTACAGCAAGGTAAGAACCTTAAATACATCCAGACACATTGTGAGGCTGAACACCTTCTCATGACTACGCCCTCCTCTGGAATTTTTATGGGATCTAAATAGAAGTATATGAAATAAAAAAAAAAAAATGATGCTAAGTGCAGGGCAATGAGTCTGATTTAAAAATAACTATGAAAGATTGCGGAGGAGAACTGGAAGGAGAGAGGTCCCGAGAGGCTTGGAGACCAGCAACAAGGGTAGGTGGAGTGGTTAATTTTCCCTCCCTTGCATCTCGGACTGCGGGTGGCTCCTGAGCGGCCGGAGAGACCTGCTGACACCAGCCCAGAGACAGCTGCTGCTAGTGAGCAGTGGTCTCTTG